ACATGGGCGGCAAGCCACTCCCACAAAGGAGGCCACACCCACAGAGTAGGTTCGAACCATTTTTGAAACGCACCACTGGTGCATTGGATGCGGTCTGGAGATACCATTAAACACCACTTGCTCACTCATTCCCTCACTTAGCTAAAGAGTAACACATGAAGTAATAAATCAGTAAATGAAATTGTGTAAAATAACTTACCCCAACCGAAGTCAAAACATGGGAGAATTGTTGTGAGAGGGATGACACTTCGTTACACATCGTGTTTGTTAAACTGTTGAAAACATAATGGGAATATATTTGTTCATCCTAATCAGCATAGTCTCCAACAGTTCAGGCCAAACTTTACTACAATTTAGATCAGTGACGGCTAATTTTTTTGTCATTGCGTGCTGAAAGTGTTGTTGGCTGGCTATTAACTTGTCGGCTGTTGTTTCCTTGTGCTGCCAAGTCCTCACCTCCTAAATATTTGATAAGCTAGTGATAAATCAGCACTCATCTCGACTGACGAAAGGGCCCGTTTCCCAGGCTTCAATCGTTTCCCTGGCTGTTTTTGTGCCTGCTCATCCAACAATCTTAAGTAGCTGCAAAATTGAATGTATGTCCTTATTCATTGCTGAGGCTACCAATACGTTCGGTATCGTCATCCATTCGCCTGGTTGTTTTTGCAGTCTGGTGCAAAAATTGGATTGCTCCTGTGATGCTGTACTGTTATATTTGCTCATGAAAATAACATATTTAAATAAATTTACCTAAATATTCCACTTTTATGGGTCAGCATATGACACTTATCACACAATCGCATCCCCCCCCCCAGTGGAACACAACTTTGCCTTTTGATTCATTGCTATTGCCCCCCAGAATAATCTAAATAAAGAGAATAATTTTCAAACATTGCAAAACATTAAGTTAAAAAACATCATTTAAAGAGGTAATGGGGGAAACAATAGCAATAGCAGTTAGACTTATATACCGCTTCATAGGGCTTTCAGCCCTCTCTAAGCGGTTTACAGAGTCAGCATATCGCCCCCACAGATCCGGGTCCTCATTTCACCCACCTCGGAAGGATGGAAGGCTGAATAGTCAACCTTGAGCC